CGCTTTTGTTGCTGACGGCGGAGGCGATGCGAGTCTCGAAAACGTGAGTTTGAAGCGCACTAAGTTGGGATTCATAGGTGACAGCACATAAAGAGGTAGGTAAATTGCGCAAGCCGTTATGGAGCACGCGTGCGTCAAAAATGGTCACTATTGGCCCGAAATCTAACTGAAGTTCCACCTGACGGAGGCAGGAGCGAGCGAAAAAAAAAAGGAGTTCTTTGTAGAGACGGGCGACACAAAAACATTCGGCATGCGGAAATGAGAGGTTGCTCTGCCGCGACCATCCCACGCGGTGAGAGCTGGGTGTGTGGTTGCTGCTCCCCAGCGATTCGTGCGACTGCTGAACTCGAGAAAGACGTATGTGATGTGTCTCAAAAAAGGAAAACGAGTGCCTGGTTGCTGAAAAGTCCGATTTTCTTCAACTGAACTACTGCTGGCTGTTCCATATTACCATCTATATCATCACAGGTGCTGCTGCTGGGATGCAGCGAAGAGATACATTGATAGCAAGCCCCCCGCGCACGCATAAAGACCAAGCCCGTTCGAGCTCGTGGTCTTTCCATTGTCTGGTGTGTTCAATAAAGCAGCAGGGGTGCAGCAAAGATGGTGTGAAGCAGAAATGGTTCAAAACAATGGCCGAAAGGGTAAAAAAAAAAAAAAAAAAGAGGCTCACGACACCATCATCGCTGTTTATGTCGATCTCACTTGCTTGACCTACGAGGATGTTATGGCTCCCGAGCCCGAGTCTCCGCCGGCCGCCTCGCCGACCGCCATAACACGACGAACTCTCGACCCTACTCAAGTGGTTTCCACGCGGACTCCTCACCGTACGGCAGTTGTGGCAGGCAAGCCCCTTCCGCCCGTGGATTATGGGCTTCTCTGAGGACCCACCTGCTCCCACTCGGATTCCGCTTCGCCTCGACCGTTTCGACGTTCCCCGCCCGCGTCTTCCGCATCGACTACGCCCCCGTCTTTGACCAGGTTGGTTTCGACCCCTGGTGCTGATGATTCGATCCTGGATCCTCCTTCGCCTGTGGCTCGTGCCAGGGATCTTTCATCTTCAACGCATTCCGCAACTTCGGTTGCTCCTACCCAGCAGTCCTCTGCTGCCCACGGTTTTTCGGAATCTCCGACGAGTTCGGTCTCAACCACTCGTACGCCTTCGTCTTCGGTTTCCGCTGCTACTCTGCCTTCGGGTGGGTTGCAGTCGGAGCTTTATGAATCGGCCCCCTCTTCTATCGAAGCGGCTTTGCATTCTTCGGCAGATTTAGTCTTCCGGGCGTCTATCAAACGTTTTTCGCATGCTGATTGGTCTCGCGAGCAACGTAACGAGCCTGTTTGTGATGCAGCTATTCGTTTCATCCTTCTGGGTCGGCCTTCGCCTCTCCCTTCGGATTTCCTGGATCATCTTCCGTCCGCTCGTCGACCTCCTCTGTCGGAGATCCGCGACCTGTCTAGCAAAGGCCGGTTACATGTCGACGACGATGGTTTGGTTTTGCTTGTTTGCAAGCAAACAGCGACCCCGTCGTCTAACACCACACGTCCTGGCGGGCGTGCTGCTCGCCTCCTGAACGACGAACCGATTCCGATACATGTTGCCATACTCATGCGTCCGTGGATCATGCAAGCCTGTAACGCTTCTGCATCCTGCCATCTCGGTGCCTCTTGCACGCTTAGCATGCTGGAACGTGTCTATTGGTGGGTTGGCATGAGTGTTTGCACGAAATGGTGGGTACGGCATTGTTTGCGATGCCAAGCCCGCAAATCATTTCGTCAGACGCCTCGATGGCCTACTTTGTGCCTTCCGCTGCCTTCGGGCCCTGGTCCCCTCTCGTTGACACCGCGTGGAAACACATATATTCTCCTTTTCACTGATCGTTTCAGCCGCCGTGCTGATATGTACGCGGCTAAGGCTGCAGATTTCACCGCCGAAGACACCGCTGACATACTTGTGAATCGGTATACCCCTTTGTGGGGTTGCCCTTTGAGTCTCTTGTCTGATATTGGCTCCCAGGTTTGTTCTAAACTGCCGCAGGCGGTGTACGCGCGTCTGACTATTCGCAAGTGGCTACTAGCTCGTACCATCCCAACAGCAATGGGGGTGTGGAGCGAGTCAATCACACTATGGCTCAGATGTCGGCTGTGGTCGTCAATGAGAGGCAAGATTATTGGGATATTCATCTGCCGCACGTTGAGTTTGCCTACAACAATTCGGTTAGTGCCGCTACTGTTTTGGCGCCCAACGAGGTGCATATGAACCGACTGCCACGGCTTTAGAGCATCCATATGCTCGAGGCCACCAAAGCTTGCATCGCGATCAACTTGAGTATGGCGATCTCGCTGCTGATCGCCAACGTCGTTCTTACGGTTTACTTCGTTCGTGAATAGCGCAACTCGTCGGTTTGGCGGATTGAGCGGCGTAACTCCGCTCTATCGGATGCTTTGCGTAAGGTTCCCTCTTACACCGTCGGTGGATGGGTGTGGGTGTACAACACCGAATCTACCATTCGCCAAGGTGTTCGTTCAGGCACGGATGACAAGGTTCTCAAGGCTATGTTGTCTTTCCGCTGGACTGGCCAGTTCAAGATCTTGGCCGTGGGTCCGTGTCCTGACGCTCTAGACGGTTGTCCTCTGGCTTCTAAGTTACTTTTTCTGGATCTTCCATCGGATCTGCCGGGTCCAGACTTGAAAAATCGTGTATCGGTTGCGCGTTGCAAGCCTTGCGCTAACCCACATGATACTAAAGATTTGCCTCGGTTCCTGCCTACTGGCCTTACACCGTATGTGCTCAACTCCTATGCGAATAAACCTCCTCCCTACCATGTTGCGGAAGACGACGTGTCGACTCCGGCCAAACGTCTCGAGGTTGACCGCATTAGTGGACATCAGTCTGTTCGTGGTCGTGGTGGCACCATCGCTGTTTTATACCAGACGCGCTGGAAAGGTCTTCTTCGTCCTTCTTGGGAACGTGAGATGGACCTCCAGCACTCCAAGTCACATTCTCCGGTATTGGACGGGTTCACCTGATCAACACCGTCAAACAAATCGCCGTTATCGGGCGATGCGTATTGGTGCGGCCACACGCGAAATGGCGCGGGCTGAAGGAGAGCGAGCCTTGCCTTCGGGCTATTCGATCGTCTGGTCACGACCTGCAGGTGTTTCGCGCCCATTGTTGTCGGTCCTACGCTGCCTGGGCGACTACGTGAGTGGCGAATCTTATGGGGTTCTCTTCGGTACCGGTCCTTTTGTCGTTCCGACGGTGATCTTTCTTTTTGTCGTTCTGACGACCTTTCTTTGTATTCTTCTGGTTTTCTTACTTTCTTCGGTTTCGACCTTGCTCCAGTCGTCGAAGGCTTTTCTTAGCCCCGTCAGTTCCTTTCGGTATCTTTTGTGTCGTCTAAAAGTCCAACGATAGTCTTGCGACCCATCGAGTGAGAGGGTGAATTGTGCTGTTTTGGAGCTCCACATCGATCCTCGATACTTTCATTTAGAGTCTCGACAATTGCTTGCCAAGCTCCAACGCTCTCTAGTATCTGCGTATGAGAACCTTCAGGGTGGGCTAGTGTCGTAGGATTCTGATGTGTAGACGGGACGTCGAAGAGAATGGTTTCTTCTAGAAAGCGCGGAGAGATGTAACTCCCCGCGGAAGGATGGAACAGGGGACAGGCTAATAGCCCCTTGCTTGTACTGAGGACCCTGCGCCCCTTGGTGTAATTTCTACCAATACCGAAGGCAACAGCTACTGCCGCTACTTATCTACAAGAGTATTAACAAGTGAGTTATTCACGGGCCAACCAGACTTCATCACGCGTGCATACCACCACACATGTACAGGTGAACGGTAGAGAGAGTTACGTTCGTTTGTGCGGTGTGGTGTGCCACCTACAAAATAGTACTACGCGTACCCCCCTGTCCTTCACAGGTGAACGGTAGATCACTTTTTTGTATATCACCAACAACTGTATAACATTTCGTGGATACTACACTGTTCTGTGTTGAGGAAATGGACACGGTTGTTTGTTGCTTGTTGTGTACTCCAAAGCATGTGCTCCGGGCTGAATGAGTTCGGACACCCGCATGCATGCACATCTCACGAAAAATTGCTTCTTCACAAACCTGCAAGTTGGTCTTACGCAATAATTCTGTCAACGATGCTGTAGTATTGAAGGTAGGTGCTGCTGTAGTCTACTACGTATCATATACAGATTGACGCCTTTTCCAGCTTCGTGCCCTTGGTATGCTGTGCACACTCTTCACCCGCCACCGTTCCTTTCAGCGTACTGCTGAGGTGAGGGCTAGGGCACCTGGCGCCCGAGCCTAGAGATCTTGTTATACACAATGTGAAGACAAACAACAACGTCAAGCTGATCGTCGTGAGCAGCGCCATGTCGCCCCGATCACACCAACCCGGAACAAACTACTACCAGGCAAGGCTGTCTCGGGACGCCGACAGCTCGGTATAGTCCGACTGGCCTTTCTGTGCTGGTACTGGTGGATGTCTGTTGTGGGACGACACGAGTAGCGATTCCTAAAGTCCCCGATGAATACCTCACGTGTATATTATTCTCTTGGAACAACAAGCGCTTGCTGTTGTCTTGCTCTTGAAGGTAGACTGGACGCAGAGAGGGGGGGACGACACGCTCCCTCCATAACCAACTACAATGGCTCTGTCCTCCCCTGCTTCGTCCTCCGGTCGGAAGTTACTTCATCTCAAATCCCACAAAACGTGGCGGGGTACCTCCAGAAACATCCATCGATGTTGTGTTCGCACTACAAACCGTTTCGATCTCTGCACAGTACCTTCTAATGTCCGTACAGGTTCGTCATATGGAAGGCGGGCGTCGTACGTACGCGGTCACCGGCTATCCAGTGCAAATAGGTGTTATTACACACTTCGGAACACGAAAAAATGACACCAGAGAACTCAGAACAATCGCCACAAAGGCAAACAAACGTGGAACACAAAGAAAGCGAAGAAGACAAGCAGGCAAAACAACACATCATGGCCTGTGGTATCCCAGCCGTTCGCTAAGAATCTCGATGGTGATTCTAGAAATCCAGGAATAGTTCGTCGTGCCGCCGTAAATTTTCCAATATGCCTCGATCGCTCTGCGCTGGGGAAAGCAACGGGGGTAGAAGCGCGGGACGTCGATAATGCAAACATTAGCTGCGAACGACCCATGGAATGTTCGACCAAGTACGAATCCACTTCGTAAAGCATCGGCAGTTACATATCAAAGGGGGGGAGTGATGATCAGCCGAGCTTGGTTTTCACTGATTTCGACAACGACCGCGGAAGAAGAGCACACAAGGATTGATCACACGCGGATGCGTGACACCAGTGTGGAAGTGTGGAAAAGTACTCCAGTTCTCCCACAGACCAGGGGTAAGGAAGTGTTTTCTTCACGTTTCTTATCTAAAACCTAGACTTGACTATGACGACACGCAGGCGACACGGCGGATATTCGGTGGGGAATCAGTACGGGATATCATGAAGTGGCGACTAGTCGACCGCCCACGTTCGTTGCTCGGGCCGTGCCGTCGGAAGGCTGCAGCTGGAGTAGTGCAGACCGAAACGTTCCCAAATACATCCGTGTCGAATTCTGGGTCGTACCATTCGGATTTGTAGGTATGTAATGGCGCACCTGCAGCCTCCCGGCACAGGACGGTCCCAACAACTTACCTGGCCATGCGAACGGTTGCTACTGCTGCATGTCGTTTACTGGTTTCCCAACAAACATGCCCACTCTCGGCCGGAAGGTCGTTTTCGATCATTTGTTCCAGTACTCCTAATATCTTAGATTCAGACCAGAACCTGACTGTAAAGAAATCAATAGTCTTTTTTTTCCAAAGTTGTTTGAAGACGGTACTCCAGGCGTCGCCAGTTCCGTGTCAAGCGCCATACAACTCACCTGCATTTCCTCTGTCTCTGCCATAGAGAGTGATCTCAGGACCTCGATCATTTGAGGCACTTCATCTGGGCTAAAGGTGAAGGAGAACGAAGACCAGTCCACCTTCTCCGGGAAAGGTTTCACCCAATCCCTCACCACAATCACAGGTATGGCGCCAGCGCTCAAAGCCTGAAGACGGTGATTTTTTCCCGGACAACGTGGAAAAACGTGTTTGCGTTGGTGGGCTGTGGCGGAGAAGGCCTTTCGTACACACTTGCCCTGCTGGCGAGAGAGAACTTTTCGTTTGTCTCTTCATTGACCGTCCGATATGCAGGGTTGACTCGAATCGAAGAGGAAGCAAATGACTACACCAACACGCCGAAACAAAGATAAATAGCATTTAGTACTGGGACTGTGCTCGAATCAAAAGGTGACACGTCACGGCAAATTTATTGCGCGTTACATCAAAATTCACAAAGTCCCCGAGGTTGTGTTTAGATTTCCCGGCTGAACCGCGACAAAAAATCGTGATTCTTCCGTCGAACTCCTCGACAACAAAACCTTCAACTTGTTTGTTCGAGGGAAAGTGTAATCTTTCTGTCAACATCGGTTTCTAACCAGCAGAGCGATGTGATGTCGAAGCAATTGCACACAGAATGCCCCATCCAGTATCCTACCTTAAGCGCCAAGCCCTGCTGTTGGGGTCCTTCCGTCGAGAGGAGCCCCCAAATGAACATTGAACGATTTTCATGTTTAATGGGGGCTGGTTCCCGCTGCTCATCGAGTTCACCGCTCGTTTATTCCTCATGGGGTTCTTGCACAACCTTTCGTCTAGCTTTCAGTGTAAACCATCTACAACAACGTTCGGAGGCTATTCAAGACAAGAGAGAAAGCAAATGTGGATTGTTTTCGGCGACGACACGAAAGTCACGGCGAGCGTCGATGTATTCAACCTCAAGAGAAACGACGGAAAGCGAAAGCGTGGATAGTTTGCTTTTGGTAACGACATGGCGAGCATCTAAGAAGCCCGACAGCGCGTACTCGCCTCTGCCAGACGATGAGTTCCAGGAGAAGCCCCGCCCGGCACTAACGCGAACGTGGTGTTCATCAGGTCTTCAAAGTCGAACGACTTATACCGTGGCATCATCTCTTCAGCACAGAATTTGCGGTAGCGTTCCGAACAAAGCTTGGAAAATTGCTCGGGGCACTTTTCAGCGACCACCACTCCTCGTTCAGGATCATGTAGCTTCACGATGCTTGCGCGCTCTTCGTACCCATGTCTGTGGAAGTATACTGTGCCCTGCAAGTGGGGTGCGAGCCATTGGGGTGAACTTAAGACGCAATTATACTGTTTGTGCACGATTTCGGCGTGTCTCTCGTCCTTGGCAAGCAAAAAGTACCGCGTCGCGGTTCTCGGGAATTCTTTGTTGTATTCGCTCTGCAGCCGGTCGTGAGCTTCACTCTTACGCGCACCACCACCAAAAAAACTGTAATTGAAAAAGCTACCAAAGAAACTGATGCGTGTACCTTCTACTATTTGCACTGGTCCAACTGACTCCGGCGCCATCATTGGTCACAGGTCAAGTACCAAATATTTTCTTGTCACTTTCTATAGATCAAAGGGAGAGTAAAAATAACTTACAAGATCCTCCAAGGCAATCCGGGAGACGACCAAACCCGTACTAAGAAAAACAGGACAAAGGCGATGCAATGAAAGCGCGCAAAATGAAGCATAGCACATACCCTAAACGTTAGAAAGTATCGCCGGGCATCGGGAGCAGATGTTTGAAGGTCATGAAACACCACTTTTGGGGTGTGTCCAATCGATATATCGAAGCCGTTGCGATAGTGGCAGGTATGTTGACTGGTTGCCGCCTCCATGGCATAGCTGTCGTAGTAGTACAGACGCTTATCCCTGCGGCAGGTACATGGCGAATGTTTTGTTCCCGAGATCAGCATATCATGACTCCATCGAGTCACGTCGGCGAGGAGTGAGAACCCCCACTTTTCAAAAACAACAACATGCTCTTCAATCGTTTCCGTCGTAGACGTATACACCTCATGCATTGTGACTCTTCTCGATAAGAAGGTAGGACTCGCCGTGGTCCTCTATAACGGGTACAGAGTAGCGTGCACCGGTAACACAGGTAGATTATGAGAAAATCGGAATTGGTTGAGTGTTTTCGGAATGTCTCAACCCGCGTAGAGAGAATCACTTCAAACGGCAAGAGAGTATCTGCACCCCGCGCACTTAATGTCTTGGCTACGGAAAAATAGCGGATACCACTAATGAATAGTATCTTCGCACGCAAGGGGGTTGGGAGACTACCCTCACCTTCCCCTCGAATAAACAAAATGACGTTTTTGTCGCCGCGGAGAGGCAAAACCCCCAGAGGAAAAACGCAGCAGTTTTCTTGTGCGCCAAAGAATAGATGAACCTGTGTGGCAACTTGCTATCCGTAACCTTTCATGCTCTTCTCCCAAAGACAACGCCGACCCCGCCATTGGAGCATCCGTACTTGCACGGTTCAAACGATAGCGTTACATCTTTTAAAACGATCTCAGCCAGTCAAACATATCGCAGTCAGCAAACGCCTGCAATGGGCATTGCGCGTGTATCGAAGGGATCGAGCAAGTAATATTGAGTATTTTGACATAATGCACTACACGTTATCGGGTCATTGCATAGGTGCCCTCAGATTAATCGTGTGGCGTGTGCAAATTATTAGCACTCATTGAATCCCGGTTAGCCGAGCTGTGTTGCCGTTCGTTGACAACATCGGTCAGCGTGATGTTCGGGGATGTCAGAGGGCTCACATGCTCCTGTAGCTGCGTTTCTTCCTTAATACCAAACCCTGGTGCGCCTTCGCACAGACCGACCTTGATACCTTGCACAGAAGGCCTCTGTATTCTGCCGAATCTCTGCACCTTTGTCTTCAGACAATATGGTATAGGATTCACATGTGTAGGGGGAACATTTAAGAGAATGGTCCCTTCTAGAAAGCGTGGAAAGATGAAACTCACCGCGAAAGATAAAACAGGGGAAATGATCTAAGTAGCCCCTGCTTGAGCAGAAGATCGTGGGCCCCTCAGTGTCATTCCTGCCGATACCCAAGGCAACAGCTACTGCTGCTGCTGTTCCGCAAAAGTATTAACAAGTGAGTTCTTCTCAACGCGTGGCACTGCAAAAACCCTTAATGCCCGCCAGCTGACATACATAGCCGTAGCTTATCTGATTCGTGTGATTGTTTTGGACGCACTGCACGGACAAGTTCCGTGAGCCGCAGAACAAACCATTTTCGGTATCGAATTTGGGCGTGCCACCCGTTCGCTTCTGTAATAAACTCTAGAGTTCCAAGTAATTCCATGTTGGGAAATATTGCTACTCCGTCCTTCGCCTGGCGGACGGAGTCCTGCCTCGACAAGTCTTCTTTCCTCCTGGACGTGTCAGAAGCGGAGCTTGCCGGCGCGCCGTCGCGTGAAAGCAATACTGCACGCATGATAATTTCGGTTTTGAAACCACGCTACGAGTTGATACGAACGTTCCTCCACGAGAACGTGTAATTTTTTTATCAGTCGTTTCTTCCATGTCGTTATCACGTACGAACAGCCACTCGAACATGAAAATTGCCGCAGGTTCTTCTTAGGTGGTCTGTCATTGCCGGGAATGCAACGCATGCCCGTACAGTCGACATTTTTATTCCAAACGCGCTGTTTTGTGGAATCACGGCTCCTCTGGTCCTGAAGTTTCGTAGTCCCTTGTGAAATCCTCTACACGGGGAACATCCTACACAAGAGCCCCAAACGCTCAAACTGGTGACCAAGCGCACTACCTGGCGTCGTGTGGACAGCCTGGGGCAAGAGGAGATGGTATCCGCGACCTATATCTGTAAACGTAGATAGATAGATGTGGCGACTTCGCCTACCTTGCCCGCACTCACCTAGACGGGTCGGTGATGTCGAACATCACGTGATTAACTCCGTCGTTCCACAGAGGGGCTGAAGTTGCGCAAGAAACTTCACGTTCACGATCCTGCTGTGGATCCGAACAAACCACATGTGCCGTGGGTCAGAGAAGCAGTATTGCCACACTGCAGCATATCGATATGGGAGAGGAGAGATTGCCGAGAGGAGCTCGGGACGCCGGGATGGGAAAATGAGGCAAGGGATAGACGACCCACAGAGCGGACCAAGGGTGTACAGGAGGTACGGAAGGGGGTCTAAGTTGATACGTTGGAAGCGACGAGATTAGAGGGGTTCAAGAATGATATATCTCTCTTCCTTTTGTCGAAAGACAAAAATGGAATTTTACAGGAACAACCAAGGAATGGGAGGGTCTAGATACATGTGTAAGGAATGTTGAAACAACGAAGAAGAGGGTTGAAACAGTACCTACGGAGGTCAAACATTGGACTGGGGGTATTGATTGGCCTTGGACGGCGTAGATGGGAACGTAGACGATGGCGACGACAAGTTCACATGCGAGTTGGCTCCGAGTGCGAAGGTCCGGGGCATGTTGTTGCATATCGCCCGTTATACGAGAGAGAGAGAGAAACGAACATGACTGAGCTGGGAAAAATAGAAGAAAGATCGACAGAGAGGTTTGAGGTTCGAGAGGTTTGAGGTTCGAGACACACATGGAATAGACAGGAGAAGACGTAGGGAATGATAAGTGGATTGAAATGGTGGCAAGTGATTTCAATAGGATAGACAAGACAGACATGTTTGTGTGTGCACTCGGCAGGATACGAATCTCCGATATCTCCCCGGTACGCAGATAAATATACATGATTAGTGTGACGGACTTGACGCGCTAGGCTCTGCCTGCCTGCCCATGTCTCACTCGTTAATCGTTAATCAAGGAACTTGAGTCTCTCCTTTGTGCAAAACACTCTCGACAAGAGCCCGCGAGCTTGATAACATAGTACACGCACCGACACCCCAAACACGATAT